CACACACACACACACACACACACACGATGCTCAAAACTCCGCATTTGAACAGTCAATAGCAAATACTTAAACTAATAACAAAACATACTTACAGTAGCTGATTCAGAAGCGCCAGATTGTCATAGCAAAGGCAGAATGACCTCTTCTCCTAGGTTCACGAAACGGTCGTCCATAAAATGCATTGCTGTTCTGTTGTAAGTAATCTTAAAGATTCCTAAATGCGTCTACTTTCGGAAGGCCAAATAAAGTGCTTTTGCTTTCGCCTAGAAACACACAGCGTCTCCCTGACATGCTGCATCAACACTACTGCTGTTCCTGAAACCACGCCTTCTTTCTTTGCGTGCTCATTTGGGCGGCATTATGCAAATATTCCCACGTAGTGAGGTAGGTATGTGGGGGCGTGTTAGAACGAGCCATTTTAGGGGGCGTGTCAGAGTCTTAACTTTGATAAAGAATATCTCTTGGGTTTTGAGACTTTAGTCTTTGCAACTTCAGGGATCTTATCTATGCACAATCAGCTTGTAACACTCCAAAGAGAAAGGAAAACTTGAAATCGCATCATATGACCCCTTTAAATGATGTTTATCTCAAAGTGTAACAATGCAAACAGGTTTTCTGTAAGGAGTAGGTTTAGGGTTAGGCCGGGGGTAGAAAATATTGTTTGGTCAGTATAAAAGTAATATCAGTCTATGGAAAGTCCCCACAATCCACAGAAACAAACGTGTGTGTGTGTGTTTATATGTCACAAATCCTGTTTCCAAATAAGAGCATAGTATTCTTTAAATTAAACATTAGAAGGGTTCACTGCTGCAATCTATACGAGCACACAAATAAAAACAATCATGGGTGCATTCGACTGAAGTTCAAAGGAAAATAACACATCCATCGATTCTGCAGCAACTTCTTATCTGCGTGACAACAACGACATGTTACAATGCTGCCATCCGATTCAGCGCAAAAACAACAAACGATCCTACCTCTGACAATACTGTGTTCAGCTAGCATTTTATAAGACGTAAAGCTCATCGTTTTCTCTTAGGTTACGAGCAGAAACCAAACACCCATCCGGTAAAAATCTCGTATTTTGGGGTATTTTCCTTGTTTTTGAAGGCGTGGAAAATAGGGCTCACGTATTTTCATTCAGGAGGCGGGCGGGGGAATGTTTTTCTACGAACGACAACGACAACTTTTCCCTCTTGTCTGACACAGTTGTTAAGCAACATGGCTTTTACTGTGCAGCAATACACGTAATATTAAGCTTTCGACCCAACTCCCCCTTTCTTTGCCTCTTTTGCAGGCGCGCGCATCATTTGTTGCCAGCAAAGCTGATGATCAAAATCACGCATCGCTTATGTCGCGGGAAAAAAAATCGTGCGTGTCTTGTGATTAGACTTGCATAATACATTACCCCTTCTTCTTCTTCTTCTTTAAATTTTATTGGCGGTTGGCAAACCAACTTAAAGGTGCATTTTAATACATTACCCTCCTGAATAGCCTACATTTAATTATTTATTTGCAAACTATATTAGTCTTGTAAAAGGCTTTTACATGATTAGTGTAAAAAATAATTTTTCAATTCATCTACACTTCCATGTCAACTCAAAATTTCTGCAACCAAACGTTGACCTAAATTTATTCCACTAGTGAAATGATCTTATTAAATATATCCAATTAATGCATGCACAGGAAATGGCAAACGTTTCTCATTCAAATTAAAAGTCCTTGTCAGTCAGTAGAGCATTACAGTAAAAGCGTAAAAAAGCTGTTTTGAATTACGTTTTTATTAAAATGTGACATAATTGCATTTCTTTTATAAGTGTGATAAATTAAGTTACAGGAGTGAAATATGTTTAACAAAATCAAACAGACAGTAGGCCTAGTGGGAAAACTCCCTTCCCTATTTGGAGAACACAAACAGTTATGTGTCTGTCTGAATTGCTTTTTTTGTGTGTCTTGTAATCTTCTCTAGCCTTTCCCTGTTTGTCTCCCACAGTCCACCATCCACTAAACATCCCCATCTGACTTAAGTTCTCAGGAAGAAAGAAGAGAGCTTCCCTCATACTCTTTAAACCCCTTTTAACTTTTTTAGTATCCTCATGATGGTTCCACCATACAAATTTATGTCAATCAACACATCATGAATAAAACTTTTGACCACACACACACACACACACACACACATTTGAGAAAGTTTGTGTATGTTTCATGTTTTGTATTTGACACATCAGGGTTTTATGGCCCATATAGTACTATGATATAATGAGAAAATAGTGCTCATTCTCATGGAAGAAAAAAATTCAGAGGCACAAACTGAGCAAAATTATGGAACGTAGCCAAAAAGAATAAATAATATGTCTAAATAGATCAAATTCAGGTAGCGTATAATGTAAATCAAGAGATTTTTAGTATAACAGTATAGCAGAATACTTATATCCAGTAAAATGCAAATAAATATCAGTTGTCACTATATCTCCCAAAAAATATATCTTAGTAAGATTATATTTTTTTGCTTAGTTTTGTGATGAAAGCTCTGCACTGGAGGGCAAACCATTCAATGCAATGCAGTGATGACTGAGAATTACAAATAAACTCCAAAAGCCTGTTTTTTCTTCCTAAAATGATGTATGGATAATAATGTACCTGTAAAGTTGCTTCAGGTTCAGTTCAATAAATGTTCTTGAAATTTATATTGTTCTTGAAATATAAATAACAATATAAAAGATATTCTTGGAGCGTGGAATACAACTCTATTATACATTTAACACATACACTTATTTACATTTCAAATTTGCACATAACATACCTGTACATACAAAATTGTCTATTTTGTATATTGTGTCTTTGCTATTTTGTACATTGTCTATTTTGTATATTTGTATATTACTCTTTTTTCCTCTGTGTCTTGTCTTGTCACTGTCATTTTGTTACACTGTGGAGCTTCTGTCACTAAAACAAATTCCTTGTATGCGTAAACATACCTGGCAATGAATCTGATTCTGATTCTTACATTTACCACAGCCTGAAGGTGGACAATTTTTAGAATGATACTAAAAGGTCTTTTACTAACTAAACAAGTATAAACTATCAGTCATAGGCAGAATGCACATAGAAGATTTTTACAACAGATTTTTCAGCAAAGATTTGATGATGTTAATAATTTAGAGGCCTTAGAACTTTATGTATTGATTATGATAAAGTAGGCCTTACAGGGTTAAATAAGCTCATAAAAATTATTTTGTTTTAATTTGTTTAATTCTTTGTATAATTATATTGCATAATACATGTATGTCCTTTGTCAAATGTGTTTATCTTTTTAATTTAGACAACCATTTTATTTGCTTTGTACCATTTTTCATTGTATGAAGTTAATCAGATTTTTTAAATAGTAATGAAATTAATTTCAACAAGAGAAAGATGATGGATTTTATTTATTATCTGTTTTTTTATTGTTTCTTTCTTTATTTTTATATATGTTAATGCTTTGGCAACATTATGTTACACAATCATACTAATAAAGCTTAATAGAATTGAAAAAAATTGAAAATTGATGGAGAGAGAGAGAGAGAGAGAGAGAGAGAGACAGAGAGACAGAGAGACAGAGAGACAGAGGTTGTCTTAGGAGTGGCAGTGCTGGTGGAGACTTCACTTCAAACATGGCTGCACAGGACGAGCTCAGTAAGTTTAACTCATTCTACATGCGTTATTTCTTCATTACTGCAGACTTGTTTTCAATACCCTCTTCATTATTTGTCACTCTTATGAAGACTGAGTTCACCGTGCTGTCTGTTTGTCTATCTGTAGTTACATAAATAAGTATTTGTAAAGTGAATATCAGTTTGGCAGTTAGCCGGCTAGGCTGTTCTGTTGTAAGTGATCCAAATAAAGTGCTTTTGCTTTCGCACTGAAACACACAGCATCTCCTTGACATGGCTGCTTCAACACTAACTGCTGTTCCTGAAACCACGCCTTCTTTCTTTGCGTGATCATTTGGGCGCATTATGCAAATATTTCCACATGGTGATGTAGATATGTGGGGGCGTGTTAGAATGAGCCGTTTTAGGGGGGCGTGGCAGAGTCTTTTGATTGATAAAGAATATCTCTTTGGTTTTGAGACTTCAGTCTTTGCAACTTCAGGGATCTTATCTATGCACAATCAGCTTGTAACACTCCAAAGAGAAAGGAAAACTTGAAATCGCATCATATGACCCCTTTAAAATAAGAAAAAAAAACGTACACATCACCCTGTTCAAAAAGTCTTAATGCATTGTGTTTCCTTCTTGAATATAAGTGAATGTTTTCAGTCTTTGTAGTAGTTGCATATAAGTATATCTGTTGCCATCAGTGTGAAAAGATGGATCTCGAAATCATACAGTCACTGTTGTAAAGGGTTCAAATATAGATATAGCCCTGCCCCTTTTCAGTGCTGCACTTGTTGTTTTCTGTATTCTGGTTTGTATTTCCACAGCTTGAAGGTTTGGTTGTACAAATTTATGAATGAACTGCTCATTTTAAAATCTTCCCAGTTTATTGACTTCTGTTATGACATCTGCTTCGAATATTACAATGCACATGATAACTTTCGTTAAGTCTACAATAAGTAAATCCACTTCACAAGCTAATTACTCTTCAACAGTGATGCTATAGACTAGAGCTACCGCAAAAACGGAAGATTAAAGACAAAATTCGAAAGATGGCTGCTCACATAAGGTCTATACAGAATGATCTTTTGCGTATTACAAAATATGTGAAAATTATTAATTAATGTTTTTAATGGAAGTTTTAATAAAGTGTTTATGGGAGTCCCTGTGTTGACTTGTGGTCTGCTTGATGATCCTTGGGTTTGTAATGGTTGAAAACCAATGTAACGATAATAGAAAAAATGAATGCTTTTGTATATGTGTTTATGTGAGAGATGCAAGTTCAAAACTCTACATTATTAATGTCATTCCTCTAGGGATGCATAGTAAGACCCAAAAGTAGGACCCATGAGAATAATTTCAAAGAAGATCTATCAAAGAACTGGATTTTGTTATTGCCCTCTCCAGGTTATGGAGTTGCTGGTACACCTAAACAAAAGGATAAAGAGTCGACCCAAGATTCAGCTTCCTGTAGAGACCCTGTTGGTTCAGTATCAGGACCCTGCTGCTGCATCTTTTGTCACGGTATGATCGTATCCCCACATGTTACTATCACCACTAGAGATGTGTCACCATTTCATGCTGAATATATTCCCATATTATGAAGTAAGAACTTCATTGTCATGACTGTGTTTGTGCTTGCAGAACTTCACTATCATCTACATAAAGATGGGCTATCCTAGGTTGGAGGTATCCAAACAGTGTGAGCTTGCACCTACTCTACTCACAGCAATGGAGGGCAAGCCTCAGCCCCAACAGGACAGGTTAGTTTCAGCTTCATTTGAAATGAAACAATGTTGTTTTCATTATTAAGGTAGAATGTAGCTGGTTATAAGCACATTTATAGTATATGATAAAATATTGTCTAATGAAATGTATTTATTATTAAATATATACACAACTGTTTAAAAGTTTGGGGTCGGTAAGAATTTTTTATATTTTTGAAAGAAGTTTCTTATGCTCACCAAGGCTGCATTTATTTGATTAAGAACACAGTAAAAACAGTATTATTGTGAAATACTGTTATAATTTAAAACAAGTATTTTCTATTTCCATTTATATTTAATTGATTCCTGTGATGGCAAATCTGATTTTTGAGCATTACTCCAGTCTTCAGTGTCACATGATCCTTCAGAATATACAGATTTGGTGATGTAGTGAAGAATCAGGATTTTCATTTTTATTGGAGATAATTTATTTATTGAATTTACTTAAAGCTTCTAAGATTCCTCTAAGAAAGCTCCTAATTTAGCTTAAAAATTTCTACGTAGGAGTCTTGGCTTAAGAGCGATTCAGGACCAATCTGAGAGCAACTCTGAGTGAGGAAAAGACAAAAACTTTCATCTTAGTGAGGAGGCGGGCTGACCCCATTGCTAGGTATGACACAGTCTTTTGAAGACTGTGATTGATTGGTTGGTTGTCCAAGAAGGAAATAAAACAGCGCTTTTAAGTGTAGGGTCTATTATAAGCCTTCACTTTGAAATTACAGGCGTAATTTTTCCTGTTTTACCATACTCTCTCTCTCACACACATTATATATGTATATATATATTCTTTATTTTTTATTTACCATGCTGTTAATGTCGTACTTGTACTGGATGGGAAATGAACAGCGACACAATAAG